AGGGTGCAGTGTGTGAGGGATGCAGTGTGTGTGAGAGGTGCAGTGTGTATGTGTGAGGGGCCCCACCCTTCTTACCATTGCTAGGTTGGAGGGGCATTGCATCCGATCCCTGGTGGTCCTGAAGTAAAGCCCTGGTGGTCCGTGACCTCTAACCTGTAGCTCCTCATGTTAGAGTTCACTCTCGCAAGATTGGAGCATTGCCATGGTAACTGCAGCAACAGTCAAGAGATAGAACCCAGTGAAACTGCAAGCTGGAGCTCCCAGGATAGTGATGGTCTTTTGATCTCCCCTTGCCGGCCTCAGCCCATGGCCATCGCGGCCACTGAGCATATGCTCGGTTTGCCCGATGACCAGTCCGTCCGATCCCTATAGCACATATTCAACCCAGATCACGTATCTGATTCCATAAGAAATTCGTACCCCAAAAGCAAGTACTGTACCTTTACCCCGTAAAATCATATCTTATCATATTCAACTACATCAAATCGCTCCCACTTACCTTCTATGATATATTGTTTTCAGTCACCGGTACCAGGGTGTACTAATAAAAAAATAGACAAAAATTTTTTTTAATCGAAAATAAAAGTATTCAATTTAAAATAGATATATCAAATCATTATTTAGCACTAGCTCTAAATATGCAACTGTGTGTGATTACACTTGTGTTTTACAGAATGACACAATAGATTACCCATAGACATTAATGGGAGGGATGGAGATATAATTCCTCATTTCATCAATATGACAGTATTCTCCAGTGTAAATCCTAGATTTTACCCTTTACCCATCGTTAACATGTCGCCTTCCCTCCAGCCCTACAGGATGACATCATATTCCATAAATAACTCCTACTTTCTGTCAGGATTACTGTTTGATCCAGCACGTAGAACTGTACAGCACGGATGACAAATAAGTAACGTATTACCGGTCCTTAGAATGGCCGGATTTAACGTACAAAGAATAGTCAAAAATACTAGCCGAGGTCAGGGAACACAGAAAGGGACACAGCGATGAGGAAAGCCAGGAGTCAGGATACCAGAATATAGAGAAGTCAATAAACAAAGCCAAAGTCAAAACCAGGTAGAAAACTATAAACAGGAACGCGCTCTCAGACAACCACAAGGGAAACCACGACAGGGCACTGAGCAGGCTGAGAACTGGGCCTAAATACCCCTCCCTTAGTTCTGATAGGCTGTAACCGGCCTTTGACCCCAAAGTCAGTTACCAGGTTTCATTTGCATAATTGCTGCTCAGCATTAACCCTTCTGTGGATTAGGTTGCTGGTCGGCACAACTTTTCCTGTGTGGACAGTAAATGTCATTAACCACTTTTCTATAAGCTGATGAATACATGAGACCAGGTTTCATTTGCACAATTACTGCTCAGCATTAAACCTTCTGTGGATTAGGTTGCTGCTCGGCACAACTTTTCCTGTGTGGACAGTAAATGTCATTAACCACATTTCTATAAGCGGATGAATACGTGACACTTTCAGTACAAATGTAACTGCCTTCACTAAATCAAATCACCCCAACTCACCTCATTTCCAGAAACACTGCTTCCAGTCGCCATCTCCAGGATGCGCTAAATTACAGAGAATGACAGACAGGAAACAGAAACATGCCATGAATTATGTTATGTTTACTTATCCCTATGTTTAAAAAAAATAAGTGTTTGAGAAGCTTGATAAAATAAACAGCTTGCTGTAGTGGTTATGCTGCCAGCAGTGTTCTGACGTCCCATCTTTGTAAGTAGCCAAAATGTTCTATAATGATTTGACTTCATACCTGGAGTTTTCCGGATGCTGCTCCCTGGCTCACTACTGATGGCAAAGATCCTGTAGCTATCCTGCAATGCTTACATTTTGACAATTTACAATAGGGGGGAGAGAAGTGGAGGAGGGAGGAGGGCGGGGGGAGTGCCAGGACTCTCCTAGGATCACAATCACTACAGTTAGCTGTAGTGGTTAATGGTGTATGCAGTGTTTCTTTAAATAGAGAAATCCACATTGATGTATTTAACCCTATTCTAACACTAAACAGCATAGAGACAGAGTAGAAACAGCTCCTTGCTAATCAGCATACAGAGAAAGCAACTTGGAGATACTTTCAAAGAGAAACCTGTGACAGAACCAACTGCTTGTGAAATACTTTTATTGCTCCCTCATTCGTCTGTTTGTTTGGCTATTTCCCTATCCGTACGATCTCCACGCTTGTTTCTGTTTTACCGAACAATTCATCGAACGGCCAGCCACCCAGCATGGAAGTGTGCTGCTGGTTAACCTCTTGGCCTCATTAGAACATTGTGGTTAGCTGCAGACACTTACTAATTGTTGAATGCCGACTGGGTGGTCATTGTTCGTATGCCGACCATGAGGCGGCGGCCATCTTGGACATACGAATGCTCAGTGGTGTTCGTCGATGATTTCATGGAACTAAAAGTGGACACTGTTTCTCACGAACACAGCTGAAAGCCGCCGACCTCCCTTCTTTTATTTTTACAGCATACGAACGCCGGTCCGTTTGGTAGTTTATTTTCACGAACAGACTTATCCCAGATAGTTGTGCCATGGAGCCCATTCATATAACGAAAGACTATGTGAAAGACTTTGGCTCCATGGCGATTGAACTGTGTGTATAGGATCTGAGCGCCATTCAGTAATAATGTGCGCTCAGTTCCAAGCTATCTGGGGATGTGTGGAATGTATCTATTGTGTTCGGTAGTTCTTTTATTATGCATTTTATGTGTTTTCACTATTCTGTATAAAATGGAGTTTGGCCTCTGTCCTTGGAGATAATTGAGTTACTTCCCAATTATCTCCAGAACAGAGAGGAGGGTCCTATATTGTAAAAAGAGTAGTGTTTTTTCTTCCTTTCTTCCTAAAAAAAAAATAAAATAAAAAATGATACAGACTGAGAAAAAAATACAGGACAGAAATACAAGGTAAATTACCTAATGGACTAAAAAAAAAGGAATCCAATGTCAAGTACAAGGGGGAGAATTAAATATATAAAAAACAAAAAAAACAAAACAAAAAAAATATATAGGGAATCCACGATAAAACAAAATTTAGGTACCCCCTTTCCTTTTTCAGTATGTATTATACATTTAGGTACGCTTTCCCGCAGCGTCTGGCGCAGCTACCTTTGCAAATATAAGCATATTGTATTTTATTTATATATGTCACTTTGTGGTTTCATGTTTATTCTTCCATAAAAGTGGTGGGTGGAATGTCTTTTCTTTTCCCATGTTCTCTGGGGAATTATTTGTGCGTAGCACATCCTGTTTGGCATTGTACCTGGGTGTGAAATAAAACGTGGATGAGAATGTAAGTGGGTGCATACTGCCCTCACAGGAGGCCTTGTATGTACGTAGTGGGGAATCGCGATGCAGCCTAGCACAAATCTAAACCCATTTACCCCCACCAATAACGACAGACCACTTCGTATGGATGAACAGGCCACAGCATTTATTATCCCAAACTAAATTACTGCATAACACATCCATAACTTTATTAATTAAATCTCTTCTTTCTGTAACCAAAAGGTTAGACATAAATAAGCATAAATTAACATATATACATATATAACTACACCCATAGTGTTATACAGTGACCCAACCGTCCTTGCCAATAAACATACAGTGGTTCCTAATCACCACTTCGTCTCACCTCCCCCCTCGTCATAAAAATCATATATTTCCAATGCCCGCCTTCAGCCGACCTTATCCACGCTCGATGGGCACGACACCTCAGGCAACCAAATGTTTAACCTTTTAAGCAGGGGAGGTTGAGACCTAAAAAAACTTGTTCATCTCATTCCATATACTTAAACGTAACCACTAAAACTCAATTGGCAAGGACATACCCCCGGCTAGCTGTGACGAAATATACCATTAGGGCGGGCGGGAGGGAAACTGTTTGCTGGCCCGAATCCCAAGTGGCACTGAGGTAAGACCTCCCCCACACTAATTTACACAGAACATAATCCCACCCACACACTCTTTCCCAACCAATCTCCTGCATCTATCCCCACACTCCTACATGTGCCCTTGTCCGCTTAGCTGCGCTATCTCCCCAGGGCCTTGTATGTACGTAGTGGGGAATCGCGATGCAGCCTAGCACAAATCTAAACCCATTTACCCCCCCAATAACGACAGACCACTTAGTATGGATGAACAGGCCACAGCATTTATTATCACAAACTAAATTACTGCATAACACATCCATAACTTTGTTTATTAAATCTCTTCTTTCTGTAACCAAAAGGTTAGACATAAATAAGCATAAATTAACATATATACATAACATACATTAACATAGGCCTATTCCAACCTCCTGCAAGCGCACCCATACCCTCGAGATAACTAGGACGCATCCGGCCAAACCCTAAGGCGAACTGTAATCCCCCAAGACGAACCCAGAAACCCATCTCGTCAGAATTTTACGGCATCGCACCAAGCCACTCACATTGCTGAGCGCACTGCCGACAGGAACGGGCGATAGCCTCAGCCTAGCCCCTGAGAACCTCTGGGAAGAAAAACAGAATGCGCAACATGTCCAGATTGAAGAGCACCCCATACAACACCGAACCCAAGTCATTCCACCCAGAGATGACAAAAAAAAACCCTGGTACCTCCAAGAGGCGGGACAGCTGACCCCATATGAGGAGGACCACACCCCCATCATGTAACTGGTGCCAGACCACTGAACCTCCGCTCCCGAAGGCGTAAGATCCAACCACTCGCCCCCGCCTCCTGGCCCAAATTACACACGAGCATCCCACCATCCCCTTTCCGGGGGGCCGTAATCGCGGTGAGAAATCCATTCGGAGACCAGCAGGGTGAACCTGAAGGAACCCACCACCCTGACTCCCAAAATTCGAGCCCCCCGAACCATTGGCGCAGGCACGCCAAGCCTGGCGGGGACCGTAGCCGTCCCAAACCAGAATAAATGCCCCTTGAACTCCCCACCAACTTTCAGGCAAATGACGGAAACCTGCACCGCCTCCGATCAGAACGGAATTTGTCAGGCCATCCTGGGAACCCGTTACATCGTGTTAGGAGCCCAACCATTACCCCGTGCATTCCATCTACTTTAGGAGAAAGCAGAAAAGCCAGGGCACGTCAACCCCGAAACATCCAGGAATCGCACAGATTCCATTGACGCATCAGCCACACCGCAACTGACTTACCCGTCCCAATGACAACAGCAGTCGAGCGCCGAAACCTGAAATAAGTCCGTCCACCAAAACACCCCACCACTTGCCGACAACTGTAACATGAACAGGAAGCCGAGCCCTGCCAATCGCAGAAGTCACCCCCAGCGCCCTCAACAGACGGAACCAAACATGTAGATGAGCAGTACACCCCCGGAACCTACAAGGAAAAGTCCCCATCCATCCCAATCACTCCCGCCATACTGGAGTGGGCCCCACGCCGCCTCATAGGGTGACCCACGGACCAGCTTCATCAGACCGTCGGACCAGGCGACCACCTCCACTGCCCTAACATCGACCCCGTGACACCTCTGCCCGAAGTACGCCCAATAATGACCAAGACAGAGCGTCGGCCACCACATCGGGAATACCCTGACACAAAAAACCCCAGACCAGCCGTCCCTAGATTCAAACAGCGCCAAGCCAGGCGCCGCAACCAGAGTAACACTGGGGTAAAGTGTACTGTTACATGACACCACGATGGTCCCAAAGGAAAAACCCACCTACCTGTTCTAGAGCCGGGCACCCCATGCCTACCATGCCACCAGAAAGGGGAAGCTCCAAGAACCCCAAAGTCCGCCAGAAAACCAATCCTTGCCAGTGTAATGGGCAAGAGTCAGCACACCATTGAGAGCCCAAATTGGCCCAAAACCCCCCAAAACCTGCTGCAGCAGCAAACAGCTGGAAGTCAGCGGAAAGACTAGGGGGGGGCCAGACTGCACAAGCCACCATTAAGGGAGGCCCAGAAGGAACCCCATACAGTCCCAAGGGCAATCCCAACAAGCAAAGCCCAGCGAACCCAGGAGAGTCCAAAGGTAGTGCAGCCTAAACCCACAACGCCCCTCAAAACCACCGACGCATACTGCCCGATGTCCTAAACCGCAGTCAGGGGCAACCGATGTCCTGTTGCAGGAATCGATCCCACTATCCAGGAGACTACAGCCCGTATCCCAACCTACGGATATGGCCTGGGCCATGGAACTCCGAAACTCATAAAACTACCCCAGGAAAAACACTGTAGCAGCAGAGTGCGGACATGCTGCACCGACGGCCCCACACATAAATGACATCGGGAGCAACCTACGGGAAGGCACATAACCACCCAATCCTGACCGTCGGGAACACAACCTGGGAACAATAAACCCGACGGGCGTACCGGCAGCAGTCGTAAAACCGATTCCACAGCCGCCTTTGTCCACAAGGCCCCGCAGCCCCACCCACGCAGCCCGCTGCGCCGAGCCATCATCCCAAACCTAGCCCCTGGAAGGAAACGACAACTGAGCAAATAAGTAATCTGGAGATACTGACCCTGCTCCTCCTCCTTGGGCACCACAGCGAACTCCATGGGTACCCTAAACAACTGGGAAGTAAACTTATAAGCGTTCTTGGTAAACTGGACCCACATCACCCGATGGAGCTCCCACATTAACTGAGGGCCCCCATCCCGACCGATTGCAGAGAGGACGGAAAAAACACGCTGTGCTGAGGGGCCAGGTGAGCCCCAAAGAAAACCAGCGGCAAAACCCATCCGGCCCCAGGCCAAGAAGGGTCGCACTGCCAACCGTTGACGAAAGTGCAAAACGTACCTCCACCAACCCAGCACAGGGACGATACGCGTCCCGAGAGTGTCCTGACCGCTGAACCCGCAGTGCCGACTCGGGGAGCCCTGTCCGATATGCGCCCTGGGGTGCATCCGACCACAGCATGCTCCCCACGACCCTCCCAAAGCCCCTAATGTCCCCCTTAGTCAAGGGACCCCCGTGGCAGGAGGGAACATCCTTCAATAAAAAACCCCATTCTCCATCTGCTCCCTAGCGTTACGCGCAAGCCAAGCGGGCCACATGAGCTCAGCAGCCCATAGTCACGTGAACCTGGGAGGCATCGCCGGCGCTATCAGCTGCGCCAGATGCTGCGGGAAAGCCCACCTAAATGTATGATACATACTGAAAAAGGAAAGGGGGTACCTAAATTTTGTTTTATTGTGGATTCCCCATATATTTTTAATTTTTTAAATTTTTTTTATATATTTAATTCTTCCCCTTGTACTTGACGTTGGATTCCTTTATTTTTTTGTCCAATAGGTAATTTACCTTGTATTTCTGTCCTGTAATTTTTTATTTTTTTTTTAGGAAGAAAGGAAGAAATAACATACGCACGCGAAGCGCTAAAAGAAGGGAAATGTACTCCCCGGACGCAGCCTGGCACTCCAAGCCCGGCAATGCGCTCACAGAAGGATGAGGCAAAGAAACAGCAGTTCCAGCATCCACAGAAGACATCAGCTGTGATCCAGGCGCCACCTGCTGGACAGATCCATGAACTGCAGCAGCATGCTGAGAAGAAGCAGCAGAGAAGATGAGCCCCCGCCCCAGAGGAGATGGCCGAGGTAAGTGACCTGGGGGGAGCAAGGTGGAGGGGGGTCAGGCAAGCCAGAGGGGCAAGGTAGAGAGGGGGGGTGGAGCCAGAGGGATGCATAGGGAGGGATAGAGAGATGGGGGATTAGAGCAGAAGAGGGAGAGAGGGGGGCCAGCCCACCAGAGAGGGGGGGGGTGGAAAAGAGAAAACCAGGAAGAGGGGGGGGGGGACCAGGGGGCCCAGGCAAGGGAAAGCTGGGCCCCCTGGAAGAAAATAAAGCCATCCAATTAGGGAGGGAGGGAAGTCAGAGCCCTGGGAGCCTTCCTCACTGGCCGAGGAGGCTCCCGACGGGCAAGGGGACCCCCCCAGCGGCCCGCGAGGGCCCACTCACCTCCCCGCCGGCCGTGGGGGAGCTGCACAGTTGCTGGGCGGCAACCCGCTGCCCGGATCGCGGGATCCGCCGCCCACCAGCCCCGGCCCAAAAATCCAGCACTGGCGGCCGGGGCGGGTGGTGTGGAGAGGAGTAGGCCGTGCGGCAGCCGCACCAGGAGGCCACGCATCCCCGGCCTGGAGGTAGTGGGTGGCTCAGGAAGGAGCAGGCCGGCCGGGTGGCTCAGTAAGTAGTAGGCCGGGCAGCCATGGGGGTTGCAGGCCGCGCGGCAGTGGCAGGCCTCGTGGCTGAAGGCCGTGCCACCCGCGTGGCCTCAGTAGGCCTCAAATCCCAGCCCCAAATAGTAGGCCGCATGCCTGCAGCCCCAGACACGTGGCCCCCGCGGTGCCCCGGGCCCAGGCTCCTGCTCCTCAATCGGGCCTGGGGAGTAGGATCCAGGGACAGCCTGGCAGGTGGGTGGGAATGCCTGCCAGTGCTGGTGCGGCCCCCAGGGGCAGGGGCCGCATGGGAGGCAGCAGGGGGAGACCCAGGGGGAGGCAGGCCACGGGGGGTGCCCACACCGGCAGCCATACCTCTATTAATGCTTGTCAATTCCTCCCTTAGGTGCCGGCCACCAGCCACGCTGCAGCAGCCCTGAGGGACGACAGGATCGCTTCAATATCCATCACCTCAAGCTGTGTTAATCTGCAGGCCCAGGCAAACAGGAGCAGGAGGACAGGAAACGGTTTGCTGGCCCGAATCCCAAGTGGCACTGAGGTAAGACCTCCCCCACACTAACTTACACAGAACATAATCCAACCCACACACTCTTTCCCAACCAATCTCCTGCATCTATCCCCACACTCCTACATGTGCCCTTGTCCGCTTAGCTGCGCTATCTCCCCAGGGCCTAATTGCTTGAGTAAAACAGGCAGCAGAGAAAGGGTTAACAGTAAAGGGCACAGTGTTCCCACAGTTAATTTGGTATTTTAGTAAAGTATGGAAAGGGTTAACAGCAAACAACACAGAATTTTCCTGTATTTTAGCTGAGCTGAAAGCAGGAACGAGTTAAATATAAAAGTAAATATATAACAGGAACCATGCTCTTTGTAAGTGGTTGAGTTGCTAATTAACAATCTGTGAATATTGAAACACTCAGGGATATTTGCGGAAGTTAGAAACCAAAGTGAACTTCAGATTTAAGGTTGAAAACAGCCAAACTAAAAGCATGGCTGGCTTTGAGGAATTTTTCAGTTTGTATATTTGGAATTTACTTTGAATTCTCACTTTTGTTAATAAACCTGGCTGTGTTTTTAACTCTTTCCATGTCTATCTCCAACACATACCTGATTCAGTCTGCAGGAGAAGAAGATGTGAAAGTAATGTGCTGGTCTCAGTCTTTTTATAGAGCTGGATCTCGGTAACGTCTAATCACGTGATCTCATTCATTGGTCCTCGTGGTGTGGCGTGATTATGATGCAAGAGTCGGGCTCTTTCGCATCTTTCGCATGTTTGAAATACATAAGGCCACACCCTGGAATGTCACGTAGCTAAAACATGCACATTCCTTAATGTAGTGAACGGAAACATGTTTAACCGCTTAAAGACACAACTTCTGAAATAACAGGGAATCATGACGGAATATTGCTGTCATGTGTCCTTAAGGGGTTATAATGATTACTGTACAAGGTGACCCGTAAGTCTCTACCCATCCATATATATTATGTATCCAGTGTATCCTACATATGTATGGGTAGGGACTTACGGGCCTCCCTGTACAATAACTTATTAATGATAACATAAAACAAACAATGAAAACATTGTCTGTGAAGAAATAATAAAACTTTAAAATTTAATTTTAGAATTTCTGTTAATAGCCTACCAGATCCTGCAGGAACCTCTGGTGTGATGAAAGGAACATTCTAACATCTGAAGCATTTTATCTTGCTGAAATGCTTTATGTGTGAAGAGGGAATCTTCTTGATTCATTCTATAAAAAGTGCAGATTTCAATGGAAATTAAAGCTTATTATAAATGAGCCTTGTTACATCCTTTGGAGAGCGAATGTTATGGAACTGTTCTCGGCATGAGGTGACCGTGCAGCTCCCGTACAAATTGGTCCGAGGTTTTGAACGACTTTGCAACCCGCCAGGAGAGCACCTTTTGGATGGAAGGTGCCTAAGATTAAGGGTCACAAACACTACCTCAGAGCAAGGTGGAGCACCACATATTTCAGATGCAAGAGCTCCCAAAAGTTGACCGGCAAAAGCACCAAACGCCCTGGAACTATTTTTTGCAGCTGTTCAGAACTTTAACACGGTGACGTTTCCCCTACACTGCATGGATCTGAGCACTATTTGGAGAACTAGGGTGCTCAGATAAGTGCTATTTGGGGATGTATTATTTGTGGGGTCATTGTATATTTTTATGCTGTTTTAGGGTATTTTTATGTTTGCCGCCCCTATCTCGACCCATGTCCGGAGCAGTCGCGGACATTCGTGGCTGCCCCTGACATACCTCTTTTAAGTACTCAACGTCTCTAGCCCAACACCGTTTACAACCTTTTCATGCTTTTTTCATATATACACCCAATGAATACATGCATGGAAAATGCATGCATGTAATTCATTGGGAGCATATTTACTAAACAGTGATTTTATGGGGGGTGGGTTTGCCCAGTGGTAAGTGGTGTCCCTCAGGGTTCTGTTTTGGGACCACTTCTATTTAACATATTTATAAATGATCTTGAAATAGGCATTGAAAGCCATGTATCAGTGTTTGCAGATGACACAAAACTTTGTAAAGTAATAAAATGTGAGCAGGATATTGCTTTGCTGCAAAGAGATTTGGATAGATTGGCGGACTGGGCACTAAAATGGCAGATGAAATTTAACATAGAGAAATGCAAAGTTATGCACTTCGGGGTTAAGAATGAACAAGCAACTTACACACTAAATGGTAGTGAATTAGGGATAACCACACACGAGAAGGATTTGGGAATTGTTATAGACAACAAATTAGGCAGCAATATGCAATGTCAATCTGCAGTTGCTAAGGCCAGTAAGATTTTGTCATGTATAAATAGGGGCATAAATTCTCAGGATGAAAATATAATTTTGCCTCTTTATAAATCGCTGGTAAGACCACACCTTCTAAGGTATGCTGTGCAATATATGGCGCCTTTATCTCTAAAGAAGGATATCGTGGCACTAAGGATATGGAATTCTCTGCCTGAAGAGGTGGTTTTGTCAGAGTCCATACAGATGTTTAAACTGAAATTGGATAAATACTTACAAAAACAAACATAACATACAGGGATAATTTCTAATTAGTGGGGTAATAGCTGCTGCCAGGGTGTACTAATAAAAAAATAGACAAATATTTTTTTTAATGAAAATAAAAGTATTCAATTTAAAATAGATATATCAAATCATTATTTAGCACTAGCTCTAAATATGCAACTGTGTGTGATTACACTTGTGTTTTACAGAATGACACAATAGATTACCCATAGACATTAATGGGAGGGATGGAGATATAATTCCTCATTTCATCATATGACAGTCTTCTCCAGTGTAAATCCTAGATTTTACCCTTTACCCATCGTTAACATGTCGCCTTCCCTCCAGCCCTACAGGATGACATCATATTCCATAAATAACTCCTACTTTCTGTCAGGATTACTGTTTGATCCAGCACGTAGAACTGTACAGCACGGATGACAAATAAGTAACATATTACCGGTCCTTAGAATGGCCGGATTTAACGTACAAAGAATAGTCAAAAATACTAGCCGAGGTCAGGGAACACAGAAAGGGACACAGCGATGAGGAAAGCCAGGAGTCAGGATACCAGAAAAGAGAAGTCAATAAACAAAGCCAAAGTCAAAACCAGGTAGAAAACTATAAACAGGAACGCGCTCTCACAACCACAAGGGAAACCACGACAGGGCACTGAGCAGGCTGAGAACTGGGCCTAAATACCCCTCCTTTAGTTCTGATAGGCTGTAACCGGCCTTTGACCCCAAAGTCAGTTACCAGGTTTCATTTGCATAATTGCTGCTCAGCATTAACCCTTCTGTGAATTAGGTTGCTGCTCGGCACAACTTTTCCTGTGTGGACAGTAAATGTCATTAACCACTTTTCTATAAGCGGATGAATACATGAGACCAGGTTTCATTTGCACAATTACTGCTCAGCATTAACCCTTCTGTGAATTAGGTTGCTGCTCGGCACAACTTTTCCTGTGTGGACAGTAAATGTCATTAATCACTTTTCTCTAAGCGGATGAATACATGACACCAGGTTTCATTTGCACAATTACTGCTCAGCATTAAAGCTTCTGTGGATTAGGTTGCTGCTCGGCACAACTTTTCCTGTGTGGACAGTAAATGTCATTAACCACATTTCTATAAGCGGATGAATACGTGACACTTTCAGTACAAATGTAACTGCCTTCACTAAATCAAATCACCCCAACTCACCTCATTTCCAGAAACACTGCTTCCAGTCGCCATCTCCAGGATGCGCTAAATTACAGAGAATGACAGACAGGAAACAGAAACATGCCATGAGTTATGTTATGTTTACTTATCCCTATGTTTAAAAAAAATAAGTGTTTGAGAAGCTTGATAAAATAAACAGCTTGCTGTAGTGGTTATGCTGCCAGCAGTGTTCTGACGTCCCATCTTTGTAAGTAGCCAAAATGTTCTATAATGATTTGACTTCTTACCTGGAGTTTGCCGGATGCTGCTCCCTGGCTCACTACTGATGGCAAAGATCCTGCAGCTATCCTGCAATGCTTACATTTTGACAATTTACAATAGGGGGGAGAGAAGTGGAGGAGGGAGGAAGGGCGGGGGGAGTGCCAGGACTCTCCTAGGATCACAATCACTACAGTTAGCTGTAGTGGTTAATGGTGTATGCAGTGTTTCTTTAAATAGAGAAATCCACATTGATGTATTTAACCCTATTCTAACACTAAACAGCATAGAGACAGAGTAGAAACAGCTCCTTGCTAATCAGCATACAGAGAAAGCAACTTGGAGATACTTTCAAAGAGAAACCTGTGACAGAACCAACTGCCTGTGAAATACTTTTATTGCTCCCTCATTCGTCTGTTTGTTTGGCTATTTCCCTATCCGTACGTTCTCCACGCTTGTTTCTGTTTTACCGAACAATTCATCGAACGGCCGGCCACCCAGCATGGAAGTGTGCTGCTGGTTAACCTCTTGGCCTCATTAGAACATTGTGGTTAGCCGCAGACACTTACTAATTGTTGAATGCCGACTGGGTGGTCATTGTTCGTATGCCTACCACCAGGCGGTGGCCATCTTGGACAGACGAATGCTCAGTGGTGTTCGTCGATGATTTCATGGAACTAAAAGTGGACACGTTTCTCACGAACACAGCTGAAAGCCGCCGACCTCCCTTCTTTTATTTTTACAGCATACGAACGCCGGTCCGTTCGGTAGTTTATTTTCACGAACAGACTTATCCCAGATAGCTGTGCCATGGAGCCCATTCATATAACGAAAGACTTTGTCTCCATGGCGATTGAACTGTGTGTATAGGATCTGAGCGCCATTCAGTAATAATGTGCGCTCAGATCCAAGCTATCTGGGGATGTGTGGAATGTATCTATTGTGTTCGGTAGTTCTTTTATTATGCATTTTATGTGTTTTCACTATTCCGTATAAAATGGAGTTTGGCCTCTGTCCTCGGAGATAATTGAGTTACTTCCCAATTATCTCCAGGACAGAGAGGAGGGTCCTATACTGTAAAAAGAGTAGTGTTTATGTCTTCCACCCTGTGATTGGCTAATGTGCAATATGTGTCACAGTTTTCCATCAGGTCCCCTAGGGGTGCATTATCTGAACCGCGACACTGCTACAATCCTCCAGACTACTCGCGATTCAGAAATCTGGGCAGCTATCGCTGTATTGGTTGCATTATTTGCAGACTTTTAACATCAGCAACAACAGCACCCACATTAGGGAAAGGAAGGTCAGATTAAACATTGTATATGTTCCACAACATAATTAGCTATATATTTAATCATCTGTCGAAATGGTCTTAGTTATGCGGGAAAACTGCAAATCAGAGGTCACCCATTGACCCAACATCAGAATTTTAGGACAACATAACAAATAAAACATTTACCAAACATTTTTAGCAATGAGACATCAATTACCAACATTGTGTCTTAGAGCATCACATAATATGTGGAGACCAAGCACAGCTACCTTTGCAAATATAAGCATATTGTATTTTATTTATATATGTCACTTTGTGGTTTCATGTTTATTCTTCCCTAAAAGTGGTGGACCTCAGCGTATTGGGTGAAATGTCTTTTCTTTTCCCATGTTCTCTGGGGAATTATTTGTGCGTAGCACATCCTGTTTGGCATTGTACCTGGGTGTGAAAATAAAACGTGGATGAGAATGTAAGTGGGTGCATACTGCCCGCACAGGAGGCCTAATTGCTTGAGTAAAACAGGCAGCAGAGAAAGGGTTAACAGTAAAGGGCACAGTGTTCCCACAGTTAATTTGGTATTTTAGTAAAGTATGGAAAGGGTTAACAGCAAACAACACGGAATTCTCATGTATTTTAGCTGAGCTGAAGGCAGGAACGAGTTAAATATAAAAGTAAATATATAACAGGAACCATGCTCTTTGTAAGTGGTTGAGTTGCTAATTGACAATGTGTGAATATTGAAACACTCAGGGATATCTGCGGAAGTTAGAAACCAAAGTGAACTTCAGATTTAAGGTTGAAAACAGCCAAACTAAAAGCATGGCTGGCTTTGAGGAATTTTTCAGTTTGTATATTTGGAATTTACTTTGAATTCTCACTTTTGTTAATAAACCTGGCTGTGTTTTTAACTCTTTCCATGTCTATCTCCAACACATACCTGATTCAGTCTGCAGGAGAAGAAGATGTGAAAGTAACGTGCTGGTCTCAGTCTTTTTATAGAGCTGGATCTCGGTAACGTCTAATCACGTGATCTCATTCATTGGTCCACGTGGTGTGGCGTGATTATGATGCAAGAGTCGGGCTCTTTCGCATCTTGAGTATGTTTGAAATACATAAGGCCACACCCTGGAATGTCACGTAGCTAAAACATGCACATTCCTTAATGTAATGAACTGAAACATGTTTAACCGCTTTAGGACACAACTTCTGAAATAAAAGGGAATCATGACGGAATATTGCCGTCATGTGTCCTTAAGGGGTTATAATGATTACTGTACAAGGTGACCCGTAAGTCTCTACCCATCCATATATATTATGTATCCAGTGTATCCTACATATGTATGGGTAGGGACTTACGGGCCTCCCTGTACAATAACTTATTAATGATAACATAAAACAAACAATGAAAACATTGTCTGTGAAGAAATAATAAAACTTTAAAATTTAATTTTAGAATTTCTGTTAATAGCCTACCAGATCCTGCAGGAACCTCTGGTGTGATGAAAGGAACATTCTAACATCTGAAGCATTTTATCTTGCTGAAATGCTTTATGTGTGAAGAGGGAATCTTCTTGATTCATTCTATAAAAAGTGCAGATTTCAATGGAAATTAAAGCTTATTATAAATGAGCCTTGTTACATCCTTTGGAGAGCGAATGTTATGGAACTGTTCTCGGCATGAGGTGACTGTGCAGCTCCCGTACAAATTGGTCCGGGGTTTTGAACGACTTTGCAACCCGCCAGGAGAGCACCTTTTGGATGGAAGGTACCTAAGATTAAGGGGCACAAACACTACCTCAGAGCAAGGTGGAGCACCACATATTTCAGATGCAAGAGCTCCCAAAAGTTGACCGGCAAAAGCACCAAACGCCCTGGAACTATTTTTTGCAGCTGTTCAGAACTTTAACACGGTGACGTTTCCCCTACACTGCATGGATCTGAGCACTATTTGGAGAACTAGGGTGCTCAGATAAGTGCTATTTGGGGATGTATTATTTGTGGGGTCATTGTATATTTTTATGCTGTTTTAGGGTATTTTTATGTTTTATATTTTTGTGTTTGTCTCTCTGTTCCTGGGAGATAATTAGCTTATAAGTCTTTAACTCAATTGTCTCTCAGGCACATCTTTAGGAGGGGCTTGCATTGTATTGTGTGTAGACCCCCTGCTGAGGGTTGTGTCAATGGAGTAGCTTGAGCTTTTGATGCCCGGGCTGCCCCTGAGTTTGCCGCCCCTATCTCGACCCATGTCCGGAGCAGTCGCGGACATTCGTGGCTGCCCCTGACATACCTCTTTTAAGTACTCAACGTCTCTAGCCCAACACCGTTTACAACCTTTTCATGCTTTTTTCATATATACACCCAATGAATACATGCATGGAAAATGCATGCATGTAATTCATTGGGAGCATATTTACTAAACAGTGATTTTATGGGGTGTGGGTTTGCCCAGTGGTAAGTGGTGTCCCTCAGGGTTCTGTTTTGGGACCACTTCTATTTAACATATTTATAAATGATCTTGAAATAGGCATTGAAAGCCATGTATCAGTGTTTGCAGATGACACAAAACTTTGTAAAGTAATAAAATGTGAGCAGGATATTGCTTTGCTGCAAAGAGATTTGGATAGATTGGCGGACTGGGCACTAAAATGGCAGATGAAATTTAACATAGAGAAATGCAAAGTTATGCACTTCGGGGTTAAGAATGAACAAGCAACTTACACACTAAATGGTAGTGAATTAGGGATAACCACACACGAGAAGGATTTGGGAATTGTTATAGACAACAAATTAGGCAGCAATATGCAATGTCAATCTGCAGTTGCTAAGGCCAATAAGATTTTGTCATGTATAAATAGGGGCATAAATTCTCGGGATGAAAATATAATTTTGCCTCTTAAATCGCTGGTAAGACCACACCTTCAATATGCTGTGCAATTTTGGGCGCCTGTTCTAAAGAAGGATATCGTGGCACTGGAGAGGGTCCAGAGACGAGCTATAAAATTGATAAAAGGAATGGAGCATTTTAGTTATGAAGAAAGGTTAAAAAATTAAATCTGTTTAGTTTGGAAAAACGGCGCCTGAGAGGGGATATGATAACTTTATACAAATATATTCGGGGCCAGTACAAACCTTTATCTGGAAATCTATTCATAAACAGGGTTATACATAGGACACGAGGTCACACATTTAGGCTGGAAGAAAGGCAAAGAAAAGGTTTTTTTTACAGTAAGAGCAATAAGGATATGGAATTCTCTGCCTGAAGAGGTGGTTTTGTCAGAGTCCATACAGATGTTTAAACTGAAATTGGATAAATACTTACAAAAACATAACATACAGGGATATAATTTCTAATTAGTGGGGTAATAGCTGCTGCCAGGGTGTACTAATAAAAAAAAAAATAGACAAAAAATTTTTTTAATCGAAAATAAAAGTATTCAATTTAAAATAGATATATCAAATCATTATTTAGCACTAGCTCTAAATATGCAACTGTGTGTGATTACACTTGTGTTTTACAGAATGACACAATAGATTACCCATAGACATTAATGGGAGGGATGGAGATATAATTCCTCATTTCATCAATATGACAGTCTTCTCCAGTGTAAATCCTAGATTTTACCCTTTACCCATCGTTAACATGTCGCCTTCCCTCCAGCCCTACAGGATGACATCATATTCCATAAATAACTCCTACTTTCTGTCAGGATTACTGTTTGATCCAGCACGTAGAACTGTACAGCACGGATGACAAATAAGTAACGTATTACTGGTCCTTAGAATGGCCGGATTTAACGTACAAAGAATAGTCAAAAATACTAGCCGAGGTCAGGGAACACAGAAAGGGACACAGCGATGAGGAAAGCCAGGAGTCAGGATACCAGAATATAGAGAAGTCAATAAACAAAGCCAAAGTCAAAAACCAGGTAGAAAACTATAAACAGGAACACGCTCTCAGACAACCACAAGGGAAACCACGACAGGGCACCGAGCAGGCTGAGAACTGGGCCTAAATACTACTCCTTTAGTTCTGATAGGCTGTAACCGGCCTTTGACCCCAAAGTCAGTTACCAGGTTTCATTTGCATAATTGCTGCTCAGCATTAACCCTTCTGTGGATTAGGTTGCTGCTCGGCACAACTTTTCCTGTGTGGACAGTAAATGTCATTAACCACTTTTCTATAAGCGGATGAATACATGAGACCAGGTTTCATTTGCACAATTACTGCTCAGCATTAAACCTTCTGTGGATTAGGTTGCTGCTCGGCACAACTTTTCCTGTGTGGACAGTAAATGTCATTAACCACATTTCTATAAGCGGATGAATACGTGACACTTTCAGTACAAATGTAACTGCCTTCACTAAATCAAATCACCCCAACTCACCTCATTTCCAGAAACACTGCTTCCAGTCGCCATCTCCAGGATGCGCTAAATTACAGAGAATGACAGACAGGAAACAGGAAACAGAAACATGCCATGAGTTATGTTATGTTTACTTATCCCTATGTTTAAAAAAAATAAGTGTTTGAGAAGCTTGATAAAATAAACAGCTTGCTGTAGTGGTTATGCTGCCAGCAGTGTTCTGACGTCCCATCTTTGTAAGTAGCCAAAATGTTCTATAATGATTTGACTTCTTACCTGGAGTTTGCCGGATGCTGCTCCCTGGCTCACTACTGATGGCAAAGATCCTGTAGCTATCCTGCAATGCTTACATTTTGACAATTTACAATAGGGGGGAGAGAAGTGGAGGAGGGAGGAGGGCGGGGGGAGTGCCAGGACTCTCCTAGGATCACAATCACTACAGTTAGCTGTAGTGGTTAATGGTGTATGCAGTGTTTCTTTAAATAGAGAAATCCACATTGATGTATTTAACCCTATTCTAACACTAAACAGCATAGAGACAGAGTAGAAACAGCTCCTTGCTAATCAGCATACAGAGAAAGCAACTTGGAGATACTTTCAAAGAGAAACCTGTGACAGAACCAACTGCCTGTGAAATACTTTTATTGCTCCCTCATTCGTCTGTTTGTTTGGCTATTTCCCTATCCGTACGTTCTCCACGCTTGTTTCTGTTTTACCGAACAATTCATTGAACGGCCGGCCACCCAGCATTGAAGTGTGCTGCTGGTTAACCTCTTGGCCTCATTAGAACATTGTGGTTAGCCGCAGACACTTACTAATTGTTGAATGCCGACTGGGTGGTCATTGTTCGTATGCCTACCACCAGGCGGTGGCCATCTTGGACAGACGAATGCTCAGTGGTGTTCGTCGATGATTTCATGGAACTAAAAGTGGACACGGTTTCTCACGAACACAGCTGAAAGCCGCCGACCTCCCTTCTTTTATTTTTACAGCATACGAACGCCGGTCCGTTTGGTAGTTTATTTTCACGAACAGACTTATCCCAGATAGCTGTGCCATGGAGCCCATTCATATAACGAAAGACTTTGTCTCCATGGCGATTGAACTGTGTGTATAGGATCTGAGCGCCATTCAGTAATAATGTGCGCTCAGATCCAAGCTATCTGGGGATGTGTGGAATGTATCTATTGTGTTCGGTAGTTCTTTTATTATGCATTTTATGTGTTTTCACTATTCTGTATAAAATGGAGTTTGGCCTCTGTCCTCGGAGATAATTGAGTTACTAGCCAATTATCTCCAGGACAGAGAGGAGGGTCCTATACTGTAAAAAGAGTAGTGTTTATGTCTTCCACCCTGTGATTGGCTAATGTGCAATATGTGTCACAGTTTTCCATCAGGTCCCCTAGGGGTGCATTATCTGAACCGCGACACTGCTACAATCCACCAGACTACTCGCGATTCAGAAATCTGGGCAGCTATCGCTGTATTGGTTGCATTATTTGCAGACTTTTAACATCAGCAACAACAGCACCCACATTAGGGAAAGGAAGGTCAGATTAAACATTGTATACGTTCCACAACATAATTAGCTATATATTTAATCATCTGTCGAAACGGTCTTAGTTATGTGGGAAAACTGCAAATCAGAGGTCACCCATTGACCCAACATCAGAATTTTAGGACAACATAACAAATAAAACATTTACCAAACATTTTTAGCAATGAGTAGTGATGTACCGAACGGTTCGCCAGCGAACGGTTCCTGGCGAACATAGCATGTTCGCGTTCGCCACAGCGGGCGAACATATGCGCGGTTCGACCCGCCCCCTATTCATCATCATTGAGTAAACTTTGACCCTGTACCTCACAGTCAGCAGACACATTCCAGCCAATTAGCAGCACAGCCTCCCTAGCAGACCCTCCCACCTACTGGACATCATCCATTTTAGATTCATTCTCAAGCTGCATGCTTAGTAAGAGGAGGGAAAGTGTAGCTGCTGTTCATAAGATAGGGAAAAGCATAGCTAGGTTAGGGATAAGGGTATGCTTTTTATTTATTTATTTTTTCTATGTAATGTAAATGCACTTAGTTGTCTGCCACTGCTGCCAGCTTCTGTGTCAGGCTCACAGTGCATACTGTGCCCATTTCCCCAGTCAGTGCCACCAATTACATCTGGTGTCACAATAGCTTGGATTTAAAAACAAAAAACTTTTTTCACTGTTATAGATTGAATAGCAGTCAGTTGTCTGCCACTGCTGCCAGCTTCTGTGTCAGGCTCACAGTGCATACTGTGCCCATTTCCCCAGTCAGTGCCACCAATTACATCTGGTGTCACAATAGCTTGGATTTAAAAACAAAAAACTTTTTTTACTGTTATAGATTGAATAGCAGTCAGTGTCCTTAAAGCGGGTGTGTTACGCTAACAGTGGATACGCTGACAAGTGCCACTAATTAGATCTGGTGTCACAATAGCTTGGATTAAAAAACAAAAAACTTTTTTTACTGTTATAGATTGAATAGCAGTCAGTGTCCTTAAAGCGGGTGTGTTACGCTAACAGTGAATACGCTGACCAGTGCCACTAATTAGATCTGGTGTCACAATAGCTTGGATTTAAAAAAAAAAACATCTTTTTTCACTGTTATAGATTGAATAGCAGTCAGTGTCCTTAAAGCGGGTGTGTTACGCTAACAGTGGATACGTGACCAGTGCCACCACTTAGATCTGGTGACACAAAGCTTGTATTTAAAAACAAAAAACACTTTTTTCACTGTTATAGATTGAATAGCAGTCAGTGTCCTTAAAGCGGGTGTGTTACGCTAACAGTGGATACGGTGACCAGTGCCACTAATTAGATCTGTTGTCACAATAGCTTGGATTTAAAAAATCAAAACTCTTTTTTCACTGTTATAGATTGAATAGCAGTTAGTGTCCTTAAAGCGGGTGTGTTACGCTAAC